TCACTCTCAGTAGCTGATTTCGTAAGGAAATCACTCTCAGTAGCTGATTTCGTAACGAAATCACTCTCAGTAGCTGATTTCGTAACGAAATCACTCGCAGTAGTTGATTTCGTAACGAAATCACTTTGTAGACTTGATTTCGTTCCAAAATCATTGATTTCGTAACGAAATCAGTCATGCGACACTTGGAGCCCCATACTGGACACATGTTTAGACCATGCATCGGTGGCGCCAGAGGATGGTGGAGATTAAAACATGCTACACCAGGGAGGCCGAGGCCCCACCACGTCATTATAATTCGGTGGGAACAATGATTGATAAAACACTGCGTTAACAATTTAGTCCATAAGAGGATTCCGAAATATTTACCGAATATCCAATTAGGATATATTTGTTTATTTATTTATTTAAAGAGGGTTCATTTGTAAAATATATACCAACATGAGCTTAATTGCAAGTTCTTCGCCGTCAGTCACGTGCAATAATAAAAAGGTTTATAATTAAAAAAGGAGGCAGTGGCCAAAGTCTGGAAAGATTCTTAGTAAGTAAAATTTTGTGATCGATAACGGAGTAATCTTTTTTTTGCGATATTGAAACAAAGTTGTATTACCTATACAAACACGTGTTTGTATATATCTATGAATGTACACGTGTATACTCTCTGACGGCGAGGAGCTTGCAAGCTCATGTTGACATATCTGTTACCAATGACAATGTACCGTCTTTAAATTAATTAATAAATAAGTAAAATAAATGATATTTATGGTTAAAACAGAGCACGTATATCATATGATATACCAAACTGCATGCAGTGCCCCTTCGCACACTCAGGACTCAGTGCCCAATCGCACACTCAGTAGAATTGAGCCAGAGCGAGAGCGCCATCTGTCGTGGAGTTTGATGATATACGTGCTCTCGTTAAAACGTTATCGCACTGCACTCTGGGAAACACTGATGATTTATTTCGCGTTGATCTTGGGAAAGTTAATCGTTACCACGAATACAAAATTTACTTGTTCCTCAACAACTTCCGGTGTCTTCAAACATCGCAGCCCGCAGCATGTTGTGTTTTGTCAGCAAATTGGTGTACTAGCAGTTTGCCACATTTAAAGTATAATAAAATCGTGTTCATTGCCTGATCTTGCGAGATATATATCTATCATTATGGGAAGAAATGTGACACTAGCGACATGCGTGCTCAATCAGTGGGCAATGGATTTCGACGGCAACCTTAAACGTATCATAAAAAGTAGGTTGCCCTTGCCTTGTCTCTGGAAGTACCACTGTGCCAGTGCCAGTGGCGCTCATAGGGTTTATGTCCCCCAGGGTACTGCCGGAACGTACTCTGGTAACTATCTGATTTGGTTAGGGTTAGGGAGTAGGCGTAGGCGACTCCCTAGACTCGTTAGTGGAGTAGGCGAGGTACGGTCCGGCATATTAGATCGTACCAGGGTACGTTCCGGCAGTACCCTGGGGGACATAGACGGTTAGACCCTCTCAGCGCTAGTGGCAATGGCAATTGTAGCGAAGGTGCTTTGCTATCGTGATCGTATTAGTGGTTACGCGTGTGTGTATGGCTAACACCGTCTGCTAACGTCTATCAGAAACACATGAAAAGTACACAACAGCAGTAATATATACGTATTTAGTTACTCTCTTTAATAGTTACCTCTTAAACTATGTATAATCCCATAAAGGGCAGCCGCGGACACAGGCACTTGGAACGTCTCAATAAAAAAAAAGAAGGTAAATAAACACAAAATATATTTACTACCAAAGTCTTAATGTTTCTCTACTCTATTTCTCCTATAATCACCTGTAAATGCCGGTCAAATGCTGATCTGCAACACACAATTGCCAAAATTCGCTCGATGCTCGCTTGATTTCATACACGGATATCGAAATCGCACAAAGCCTGACGAAATTCTCGCGTTCGCTCCTGTTGCGCAGTTTATGTAAATGGCTGCAAGTACTGGGCTATAGGCGGCGCACTGCATTTTGGGAAACTACCACTCTGCTTTCCAACTCCCGTGTGAGCCTCGTCAAAGCCGCCAGTGGAGCGTTGCAAAAATGCTGCAGCGTTGCAGCGCAAAAATGAGGTCACGAAGAGCGCCGGTGGGTGTTTTCTGATTCCGACAGACATTTACATAAACTGCGCAATGGGAGCGAACGCGAGAATTTCATCAGGCTTTGTGTGATTTCGCGTGACACAGCTCGGTTAGGAACACAGACAGTATGTTTTTATAACAAGTGAACACTGTTCTTTAAATAGAAACAAAGATGGAGTAGAATGGTTGAATATTTGTGTTGTATTTGTATGAAATCAAGCGAGTGTCGAGCGAATTTTGGCAGCACGCTTTCCTACCTGCTATATATTTATGTGTCAGTGTGCAGCAGCTAGCGTGCGGTGTACTTGTGTGTTGCAGATGAGCATTTACAGGAAATTGTCGGCAATAATAGGTGAAAGAGAGTAGAGAAACATTAAGACTTTGGTAGTAAATAGATTTTGTATTTATTTAGTATTATATTTTATTGAAACGCTCCAAGTGCCTGTGGCCGCGGACACAAGGTTTACACGAGAGACTGTCATAACTTACGAGGATAACGCTGTGACGGTGTGCTGTCTGAAAGGATGTGCTGGCTATCGTGGTGTTCGTAGCAAAGTAGGCAGATATGTAGCGAATGAGTCTGCAAGATGTCTAATTCTTCTGCTTTCTACCCGAGCAAGAGATTTTATACCCAATCTAGAGATCCCGTCTACCTATTGTTTATCGTCAACCCCGCTGGAGCGCAACCGCCTGTAATTGGTTATCGCTTTGAAATGGCTAGTCACATGGTGACGATTACACAGCTGGGCATGTACCCAAAATAGAACAATAGAATAGTTGTGGTTCTACCCTTTTCCCCAGCTAATTGCTTACTGTGTAATTCGGCGGTGTTACACAATGGTACAAACTGAAACTGTTGCAAGTACAAATAAAAACTTCAAATCCCCTACTCCTAATAGTACTTACAAGTGTAATGCCTGCCATATATTGATTTTGTATTCATGACACTAATGTTATTGAATTAGCGATTTGGATATTACTCCGATACTACTAAAATCTTAAAGCGAGGATTTCTCAGACTCATGTTTTTACTAACCATTTTCAGAATCACATTTTTTCAACCGTTTTGATACTTACCAGTACTCCTTGCATAACATCAAATGCATATGATATAGTTAGGCTAACATGTCATAGAACAACATTCTTTCCACCATTGCCATTGGCACCAATAATGTGCACTGATCTATATTTAAAATGAGATTGTTTACATATATATGTCAACAAACCTAGCATGTTAGTTTTGCTCTCGCGAGACCGAAACGCTGTCTCTACACTAGGTTAATTACCTTTGTATACATTTCTAGATATGTACTACACTGTACTAGTCTATAATTTATAAATAATTGCGTCACATAACTGCATGCACTTGTTTTGTGGGATAGTTTGAACATTCCATTATCGCGAATCTGAACAGAAGGTAGTGAGCTTGCTGTTCATTTATTGTTTTATAGCCTATAACAGCAGGAACTTGTAATAATTTTTATGCTGATGTAATCAGTAATATGTACAGTGACAGATGAGTCTAAATTTCTCTCCATTTATTAAATTCTCGATTTCCTTGTGAGATGATCGTTTTAATACACCACGGTAGCCACTTTCACGGTATTACTAGATTTATAACTATAGTTTATTATCTGGTATTGGGTTTTGGTTTAAAATTTTTGTGCAAACAGACTAAACACTGTGGATGTCTTACAGGTATTGAAGAGGCTAAAGCAAAGGGAGCATCTTACAGATTGGGTCCAGAACTAGAAATACCGTAAGTTGGTTACAAGACCACAGAGAGAGCTTGGTTGTCTAGTAATTAGCATGCCGGGCACCTTTAGCTATGAAGGCTTGAGTTCCGACCCCGACCAAGCCAGTGAATTTTCTCGAGGTGTAAAACTTGTAATCAACACTGCTTGGACTAAATCTCATCTCTGCTGGGATGACCATGTAAAATGGTGGGCTCGTCTCCAGTAATTGGGACGTAAAAGAACCCCTGAGAATGTAAACCACTCTGGCAGTGACCGCTACCAGCCCCCACAGAGGTCGACCTGGTGAGTGCTTTGAGGCTCATTAGTAAATTTGGTAAATCGCGATTCACCAATGTATCGGTGAATCGTTACAGCCGTACCTTTATGCAGGACTTGTCTTGCTGGGCAAATCTTATCACTCATAATCTAACAGCATCAGGGTGCATATATTATTAACCTGTTAGTTAACTCCATAAATATTCTAATTGCAGTGGCTATGGATGTGCTGACCATTTTATGGAAAGTGATACCATGCTCCATTCCTTTGAAGTGCTGGCAGAGTTGCTTTCACATCCAGCATGTCAAGACATAATCATCGACACCGGAATGTATGTGCATTGAGCGTTTTCGGAAGAGTTAGACGGGCCATGAAATTCATGTTTTTGACACCAGCATTGAGGGTGCTGGTAACCACAAATTTTTGTCAGCCCTTGGCAAAGTTTGCATACGCTATATATTCTGTGTTTCTGTTTGTACAGCTACTGTATGCACCTCCGTGTCACTTCTAATGTATCTTGACATGATAGAAGGTCGTGTGTGTGTATGTGTGTATGTGTGTATGTGTGTGTTGGAAGTATTTCCCTCTTCCACCGTGTTTAGCCAAGTTAAAGGTTGCAATACAGTAAAAACTCGCGTATAAGAACCTGTATTTTTCCAGGTTAGCCTAAAAAGGTTCTTATATAATTGGTGTTAACTGGGAAATTAGGCTATTTAGGTTCTTAAATAGGTTCTTATTTTCTTAAGAAAAAAAAGGTGCTTGTGGCTGGTAGAATATTGGTGCGGGCCATTGTTTATACAAAATAATCATATAATTATAGTGACTGCAATCTAGACAAATACAAACCCTATTCTACGTTCTTATTTCTTTTTATGCCCTTTATACATAATAGAGGTATATAGACCACCAAGAACTTGTTTTAGTTAATTTATGAGTTTTAAAGTGTTAACTGTATTTTATCAAATAAGAACCTGTTTCAAGTTTTAGGCTACAACAGGTTCTTATGTCAAGGGGGTCTAAATGGAAAATCTTAGCCTAACAGGTTCTTAATCACTAGGTTCTTATACGTGGGTTTTTACTGTACTCAGCTTTCTGTTTTATCTTGACCTAAATGTACACTCTTATCATATTAGTTTTATGCCAATTATCATACGTTACGATTTCTTTTATCTTTTCTCTCGTAGGCCAATAATGCACAAGAGTGTTGTCTACAACTGCAGGGTGATATTTCTGAACAAGTAAGTGATGTGAGAATAAATGAAATTTCGATGGCGCAGTGTTTTATCGTTGGGCTGTCATAATACCAGGAGTCTATCAATATAACTAGATATCATATAATATAACTAGATATCTACATCCATAAACAACCCCAAAGATTATTGTAGTGCTGTGGCTATTGTTCATGGTTTTGAAACGTTTGTCATATGATGTGAAATTGTAATAATAAGCTACATCCAGTAAGGATTTTAATTGTTTAAAAAAAAGATCTATTATTTATGTTATCATCGTCACCACAAGGAAACATGCATCTATGTTTTGTCATTTTTTTCTGATTAGTCAGCTTTACTATATCTGACCTATGTGTTTGCTGTTTCATGTTGCATAGAAAAATCCTGCTGATCAGGCCAAAGAAGTGTATGTGTGATGATTACAACTACAGGGAGTCCCGGTGGTTCACTGCCTGGCAAAAAGACAGGACTGTGGAGGAATATTACCTACCCAGAATGATTTCCGTTATTACTAATCAGGTATTCAATATATATGAATATATGAAATAATTGTATGTTATTACTGCCACAGTACTATAATAATTTCAGAACGTACCCGCTAGAGGTGTAACGATACACTAGGCTCACAATATGATACATATCTCGAAATGTAGGTCATGATACGATGCGTATCGCGATACACAAACATAAAGAGTCAGTCAACATAAATGTTGAACAGAAACCCAATGTCAATGAAAATTACATCATAACTAGCGCTGTGCATCCAACTTGCCCCCACACTTTACTTTGTATCGATACCTCTTCTTATTATGTAGTTATTGTTTCGAACGTCAGACATGCTATTAGTCATTTATGGATGGAAATGTTGAATTTCTTGTGTTTCGAGAGTTTCATACTCCTCTATGGGACAAAATATGAGTTATTATTTTTGTTTAAATTATTTATTATGTTTTGGATTTTGTCAGTTAGATCATGTTTCTCATTCTCTCCCTCTCTCTCCTTTTCTCTCTGTCTCCCCCTCTCTCCCCCTCTCTCCTTCCCCCTCTCTGTCTCTCCCTCTCCCTTTCTATCTATGTGGGTGTGTGTGTGTCTGTATGCATGCATGCATGTATATATGTTTGCCGGTCTGTCTGGCTGTCTTGTTCTCTGTCTATCTCTCATTCTCTTGCTTTCTCTGTTATTAGAAAACGGTAAGCTTTGGAGATGGTGTAATATCCACTGTGGACACTTGCATTGGGGCCGAGATTTGTGAAGAACTTTGGAATGCTAACAGGTTTGCATTTTATCTTTATTATATAATTTTTACAATGTTTTAATTATAATAATTCCATAACCTTCCAAAATTCCCAAACATTAACTCCACTTAATTTTGTCTGTAATATCCTCACATATCCTTAACTGCTAAATGTAGTATATTCATATATTATATGTTATGTTAATAATACAGCCATGAGTTTTTGGCTCATCTGACATAGTCAGATGCAGCTTGTAGAATCGATGCAGCTTGTCGCTGTGCCGTGCGTGCGTCTGTCCCGTGCGTCAACATGGGGCCCAAATCTTAACCGCCTTGACGTTCGCGGTCACGACTTTTGGACGCGGCGGGGAGCGGGATTGTCAACGCGTGTAGGATGTCGAAGCTGAGGGCGTCAAGGTCAAAGGTCAAGAGGGATGTAAGAAGGGGAAATTCCCTCCTTAATTAGCGTATAGGGAGGATGCAGAATTGCGCCGCACAATCTAAACGGCCGACTAGTGTCGTGATAGTCGTGTCAGCCTCATGGGTAGGAAATAAGTCATCACTGCGCCGAAATTGGAGGTCAAGGTAAAGGTCAATGGCGGACAGGGCAGATTTAGACATTTTCTGACAGCACATGCGTCCTGGCTGGCAGCGATTGAAACACTTTTTTGGGTTTCAGTGCGTGACTAGCATTTTTATGCTTTATGAAAGGACATGCATGTCATTTCTATGCTGAATTGCGTTAAGAGTGAGTGTCGGATAACGGTTTTGACCCTTAAGGGCGGTTAACATGGATTCTTTATGTTAGAAAGAATTTGACTGCCGCGGTTTGCTAGTAGAATCATATACATGCCTGGATGTATTGAGGCTACAATGTCACAGTCGAAATTTCAAAGCTTAAATTTGTGTTGGAGAGGTTTATGGTCCTTAAATCTATTAGATTTCTATGGCATTCTGTACTGTCAGTGTGTTAATGTCCGTATGCATGCCAGTTGGCCACTCCAGTGCCAGTGCATGTGGTGGTTACTTGTGTGTTTATGCCCTGGGTTTATTGTTACAGGTGCAGCGTCTATTTTCAGCCTGTAGGGTTGGATAGGTGAATGGCGATGTGTGCCTTACCTTTCTGTCTTGAATAGTTGGTATACTCGTACGATGGGGCTTCATCTTTATCTGAAGCAATGTAAGCTGTCTACGGTCAGGATTCTGATTTTGTTGAAACCTTATTTTTGTAATTTTTTTACATCAAAGTTGAGTCTAACGTTATAAAATATCTCTAAAGCTCTCACGTGTTTAAGTTTTTCGTTGGTTAATTTGCCAAAATCTTGACGATGTGAATTAGTGTTATCCTAACACTATTTTACCCAATCACTGGCGTCACGTCGGGTTTGCTGCCTGGTGCTGTGGTCGGATGTCATCGTGATTTGTGTATGGTGCACAAAGTCGTGCCACAGATTCTGTTTTGATTTCGCTGTTGGCCTATTAGAATATACAATATAGGAAAATAATATAGTATGTTTATGTTATATATGTTTGGAAATTATTATTAACTGCGATGCTTATTGTGTTTTTTCTAATTTTCTGCAACAAAATGTTTGTGACTTCCTTCAGGATCGATCAGAAGCCTAGATAGACTAACGATAACAATGGTGTGGGCCAGACAGTGCCATCGGAAAGAAACGACAAAGAGTAAAAGAGAAGAGCTTTACTGAGAAACTCCCGCTTTCGTTTACAGGATTTTCATGGCTCCATATTTTGCATGCCTCGATTTACCCGCAATGTTCGCTATATGGCTAGCTGCGTACTGGGCGCCACACAATATTTTGCGCATCTGGCGTTGTTGTGAATGACGTTTTTTGGTTACTCGATGCCACGCGCCAATTCGGGTTAAAGAGCGATATTGAGCATGAAAATAAATAGAACGCTATTGTTATTTTCTACATTTTCTTTTGGTACAAATAACACACAAAATACTATCTTGCTGATTGCTCCAATTCGTGACGCTAATACGTGTAAACTGTACGCGCCATCTCATGGCACTTTCATACGATCCAACGATACCCCGCCCCACAACCCAGTTCCTCGGAAGGTTCCTGGATACCATCCCTGTGCCTTCCCTGTTTTGGAGTGTTGTGAACACATTTGGGACTAACAGGGTTTACTAGAATCCCACCACTCCACCACAGAGTCACCGCAGTAGACGTTAGATGAGTGCTGTCGCTCCGCGGCACTTGTTTTATACTTACCTATCTTTACTTGTTTACTAGTTCATCTGAAGGCATGTTGACAACGTTTTGTACTTATTTTAGCTCGCATGTGCATCAGGGTTTAGATGGAGTGGAAATTTTTACAAATTCAAGTGGCAGTTACCATGAGCTACGAAAATCATATGTCACTGTTGATCTTGTCAAGGCAGCAACATATAAGGTGATATATATAGTGAGCTGTAGTTCTATGGGTAGGTCTATATTTTAGGCCATTGTGTTATATTTGCAATCCATTCGTTTACTGACATGTATTTACATCAAAAATGATGAATGTGTAAAATATAGAATTTGATTAATTACATCATTAGATTGACTGAAAAAAATCGCAAACAGTGACTTCACTACTGTACCAAGGCTTGGTCTGGATATGTGCTTTTTGTGTGCAACTGCTGCAGAGTGGGGGTATCTACATGTTTTCCAATCTGCGTGGTTGTGATGGCGACAGAGTTTACTACAACGGCAATGCGTGCATAGCAATCAATGGCTTCATCGTGGCGCAGGGAGACGAATTCTCGCTGGCTGAAGTGGTGAGTGCGCATAGTGTAGCCGACGCGTCGTTTCGCATTCTAGCATGGGAAAAAAAGAATGCTATGTGATTGCATGCGACTATGCAGCTCTTCCTCCCTAAAATATTATTTGCCTTTATATTATTGGTGTACGAAGCAATTTATTTAGCTATCAGTCAATAGAGCTAGATGGAAAACATGGCTGTGACAACAGGGCCGTGACAACAGGCTGCAACAACAGGGCTGTGACAACAGGGCTGTGACAACAGGGCTGTGACAACAGGCTGCAACAACAGGGCTGTGACAACAGGGCTGTGACAACAGGGCTGTGACAACAGGCTGCAACAACAGGGCTGTGACAACAGGGCTGTGACAACAGGCCGCGACAACAGGGCTGTGACAACAGGGCCGTGACAACAGGCCGCGACAACAGGACTGACAGCAGGACTGTGAGGACACGGCTGTGACAACAGGACTGACAGCAGGACTGTGAGGACACGGCTGTGACAACAGGACTGACAGCAGGACTGTGAGGACACGGCTGTGACAACAGGACTGACCGCAGGGCTGTGAGGACACGGCTGTGACAACAGGGCCGTGACAACAGGGTTGTGACAACAGAGCTGTGACTACAGGGTTGTGACAACAGGGCTGGGACAACAGGACCGTGACAACAGGCCGCGACAACAGGACCGTGACAACAGGACTAACAACAGGACTGTGACAACAGAGCCGTGACAACATGACTGACAACAGGGCCATGACAACAGGACTGTGACAACAGGGCCGTGACAACAGTACTAACAATAGGACTGTGACAACAGGGCCATGACAACAGGACCGTGACAACAAGGCCGTGATAACAGAACCGTGACAACAGGGCGGTGACAACAGGGCGGTGACACTGTCACTAATCACAGCCCTTGACAATGCCACAAACAACAACAGCAATGCAACAACAATGCAGCTGTGACAGTATCACTTAATGACAGGGTCGTGCTAATGTCACTAGTGCACTGTGCACATTGTAGGAGGTTGTCACGGCAACGCTTGACTTGGAGGATGTCAGATCGTATAGGCATGCGATCCGTAGTTGGTGTGCGACTGCCGCTAACTCTGCTCCATATCCAAGGATGCAGGTGGGCTGGTTATTACCTTATGAAATATTATTAGCACTTGCAATGTAATGCTCGTAGCGGTGTTTCCAATGTATGTGTTTTCGTGTGTTTTCAAGTCTGCTATGAAACTGAACGAGCTGCATTATGTTTCTATATTTACCGACATTCTTCTGCATGATATTTACATTTTGTTGCATCGAAAACACGTAAAAAGTGATTTAGTGTATGTAAACATCACTTTCCTCCCGTAATGCTGTTCTATTCTTTCAGGCCAATTTTGCTCTATCGGGTGAGACTGATCTCTTCATGCCAACGTATGAGCCAATTCAATGGGTTTATCACACACCAGAAGAAGAAATTGCGTAAGAATATATTTTAGTATGTTACAGGTGCCTTCATGTAACCAATGCCATTAATTTGTTGCAGAGCACTGTAAAACCCACATAAATAATCATTTGTACTATAAGAGAAATTTTAATAACGCGTAGCATGCCTATACTACGTGAAAAAGGCCCAAACTCGAACATTTTATTTTGCCATAGTTATGGTTAATGGGAGTAAGATAATTGAATTTATGTAAGTAACAGATAATGAAATGCTTCTCACTTTCAGTAAGAAAGTGAGAAGTCATAAATAAAAAAACGCATCTTGTGACATTTGTCTCAGTAGTTCTACTTGCTATGCAATAATGTATGCGACTGTCATTCATGTACAGGCAGGTGTATGTGCACAACGTTAAAACGATTGACTTTTGCTAGATGTTATCTTTAACAGCAGCATTTAAGTGTGAAGCGTTTAATGCTGCTAATCTGCTGCGGTTGATAATTAGTTAATTCGTAGATATGATTCCTAGCTGAATTTGTGATTTATTGCTATATGGGGGAGTGTTTCGTGGCCCAACCTACGTGCTGAATTGCTTGCTGCCTGCTACTCATTCTGATTTTGGGTCACCCTGATGCGTGACTGTATCTATATACGGTCCTTTGTGTACACTTATCTACAGTCATGTCATACATGACTATTTCTTGGGGCTAGCCTTGGGCTGGAAGCAGACCATACAGATATGTCATTGTAGGGTAGAAGGAAATACACGGTACCTGACAGTGCCCTATTCAGGAGAGTGAAAGGGCGTGACACAGCAGGGCACATATATAGAAGTTACTAAAAGCCCTTTGTGAAATTTCAATGGTACCGTACCATGCGGGGGAGAGCCGTCATGCATGTGTCACATGTGTGCTACATGACTATGGGATTTTATTATAAAGTATTTGGATTGCATTCTGAGTAAAATCTATTTATGATAGACACACAATCTACCTCTATTTGTGGAGGAAACTTACATTGTTATCGAATCGTGAAAATTACATAAACACGTATATAGGATGGCAGATGAACTAAAAACCGTTTTATGTACATAAACGTTTGTTCAGTTCATCTATCCATCTATCTATCTGTCCATACATCCATCTATTTGTTTATCCATCTATTCATCTGTCCATTTGTCCGTCCATCTGTCTGTCCATGCATCTGTCTATCCCACTATTTATCTATCTGTGTATATATCTTTCCTCCCATCCATCCATTATTCCTTCCATTCATACATATAACATGTAAAAAGTAGGTATGTTTTAATATCGCAAAGTATGTTTGTAATTCTTATCGAGCTTAAACCTACTTATAATATACCTTATAATGTAATACATGATATGACATCTTGTGTACATTCATTGACTTGAATTGATCATCGAGAGACTTGCATGGATGGATAGACAAAAGTGTGGGTGGATGGATGAGTGGATAGCAGATTGGTGCATATACACATACATAAATCTGTTTATCAGTTTGTGATTCATCCATGTGTAAATATATATATATAGATATATACATGTATGTAATAGTGATGTTAATGTGTATAGGGGGTGCTTTGTTTCAGCATGGGCCCTGCATGCTGGTTGTGGGATTACCTCCGTCGTAGTGGCATGGCAGGCTTCTTTCTACCTCTGAGCGGCGGTGTTGACAGTGGCAGCTGTGCGTGCATCGTCGCCTCCATGTGCAAGCTGGTGTGCGAGGCGGTCAGCCGTGGAGGTATGAGGCGCATCTCCCACTGCACAGAATCTACGATCTTGAATAGTGACGAACAATTGACTTTTCGTCGGTATTGTGTACTATACTATATGTATATATATATATATATATATATATATATATGTATATATACATATATACACTATATATATAGTGTCCCCTGCATTGACACGAGCGAGGCGGCCCGTCTCGCTCAAATTCTCAGCCGCCACACAGACATTTATCCAAAACACCGCCTCGCTGACGAAAATTTCATACAATGTGTTCAGAATATCTTAGAATGCACCAAATTGCACCATTTTGTCAAAATTTAGCAGGGGGCATGCTGCTGGACCCCCCTCGCCTTGCTAGGACCTCGAAACGCGCAAACACACCAAAAAAATTTACCACCTCAGACCTTTTTGGCCGGGGGAAACACTGTATATACATACATATATTAAACACCACAGTGAAGTGGATTGCATATTTTCCTGTTCTATATGTAGACAAGCAGGTGCTGGAAGATTGCAGGAAAATAGTAGGTGATGCAACCTACACGCCGACCGACGCCAAAGAACTCTGCTCTCGCATCTTCACCACCTGCTACATGGGCACGGAGAATTCGTCGCACGTTACCAAACAGCGATCGAAAGATCTGGCATCTCAGATCGGGAGGTGAGTGTCAAAACCTGGCTACATTATTCTACTACTATATCGCTATCCAGTTTAGCTAAATGACGATTAGGTTCACTCCGGGTCACGATGCAAGTGCATTCTGCATCTCTCTCCTGTGAAACTCTGTTGCTCAAGTTTTTTATCTATCACCTGAACGTGGTGATCAACGTGATGTCGTGCGCGTTAGTCCTCTCCTGTGAAACTCCGTCACTCGATTTTCCAGCTATCACCTGAACGTGGTGATCGACGCGGCGGTGATGGCCGTCATCGGGATTTTCACGACCTTCACCGGCCTCGTGCCTCGCTTCAAGGTGAAAGGCGGCACCGTGCGTGAGAATCTCGCCCTGCAGAACGTACAGGTGAGTTCCTGCATCCGTGGACGCGTGCGCAGCGCATCTCTCCGTGATGCTGCGTAAGATGGAAGCAGTGATTTCGCTGTAAGAGATGCGTATAGTGTAGTACGGTATGTGGTATGCAGTATACAGTATACGGTATGCAGTACGGTATGCAGTACGATATGTTTATGTAACTGAGTTTTTTTAGTCACAAATAAGTTATCACGTCTTGTTAATGATTCCTATTTGGATGTTGCTTGTGTTATGCCACCACACCGTGCGTGGCAAGGATTTCGCGTGCCGTGCTTGGATTTGTTGGTAATCATGTTTGTTAGGATTCTGGCTCAAGAGATTACAATTCCTAATCGCGTGGATTTTAAAATATTTTTTGGCTGATATTTGTCGTGAATCTAAGAGAGTTTCTTCATTGCAGGCGAGGTTACGGATGGTATTGGCATACCTCTTTGCCCAACTGACGCTCTGGGCACGGGGCAGACCCGGTGGACTTCTAGTGCTAGGCTCCGGAAATGTCGATGAAGGGTAAAAAACTATGCACGAACTCAATATTGTTTAAAATAGAGAGCGATAGAGAGAGAGAGAGTGACATGTGATTCAGAGCATGTGATTCGACGAATTTTTTACTGTGATTAGATGCTGCACACTTTTCAGTATGCAAGATGGTTGTCTGGTGGGATTCCTAGGATTGACACTGTCATCAAGTGCCATACGAGTTACATTTTAGGAGAAATTGCTGTATACATACTGAACTCACGTAGCAGAGAAGGTGGGCAGCCTAGTGCTAGCTGTTTGCCGCTGCCGTAGTATAAGCATTTGTTTCATGACTGCGGTAAAATAACGTTCTCTGTACACAGACTGCGAGGCTACATGACCAAGTACGACTGCTCCAGCGCGGACATCAGCCCGATAGGCGGAATCAGCAAGACCGATCTGAAATGCTTTCTCAAGTACTGCGTCAATACGTACGGCTTTACGGCGTTGACAGAGTAAGTTCTCCACGAGTCATGTTCGTGCCGTGGTTCCTGTCCTGTTATCGTTACTGCACGTCTCTCCGTCATTCGCGTCAGCTGTCAATGTGGAGCCTCTGTGTTGGTAGCGTCTAACTCACGAACGTGCGGACTGGTGAGTGATGCAGAGATGCCAACCACTACGATTTATTCGTATTTTATACGAATTTCTATTCCTTTTGCACCACTACGACCAGTTTGTATCAAACTACGAATTTCACTGTGATCGAAAAAGAATTTTTTTTTGTCAATTATTGTCATTTTTTGTCAATTTATTGTCATTTTTGACCCTCAGAATGCAGGAAATTGCATCTCAGAATCAAAAAAATTTCCGCGGAGCATGCCAGACCCCCCTAGCAAACTCGGGTCAATAAGTGAACCTCGAACTACTAATTTGATGGCCAGAAACTGCAGATTGCTTCAAATATGTGTTGGCATCTCTGTGCCACTGACGGTCAGTGGTTACCTTTGTGTTCACGAGAAAGGGCTACAAGCTGAGAACCTTGCATACAAACCAGGCCATGCTTCTCGAATTAGTTGAGTTTTGATTTCTGTGCGTCGAAGTACAAACATACGATGGTGTGATGAATTCTGCTCATAGTCTGGAGCATTACTGTATGAAATTGATCGGTTTCACACCGGCTTCAGTCCAATCGTGTAGTCTGTCACTGATGCTGCCACAATGAGACAATTCTTCCTGAATGTGTACAGCTTAGGGTCAAACTGCGCCTTCTCATGTGTAAGGACGTGAAAAAATCATATTAGTGTAAAAACATGGTTTGATATTGAACAATGTGAATATTTCACGAACCTAGATTAGATCGTTGTAACTTAAATTCGCATTGCTGCCGTATTATGCGATGATTATATCGTTCTCCATTTCATGTTGCCAGCATACTAGATGCGCCACCGACGGCAGAGTTGGAGCCTCTCAGAGATGGAGAGATAGCACAGACAGACGAGGTATGTGTATTCTGCACGGTCTCGAATCGCTCTAGCATCTTATGACGATGGTCGGCAATGTTGTTGAACTTTCCCTGGCTCGGTCTTGAGAGTAAAAACAATGCATGGATCCGTTAATAAGTCCATGCTATGTCTTCAGTGAGAATACCAATAAAAAACCATTGGCTACTGTCGCTACGTTGTAGGGATTATGTGCATAATATATTGCCCCGCCTAGTGTGCTTCCCTTCAAACACGGTTGAATTATGGAAAAAACATGGGACTGCCAGAGTCAGGCTGTGGTTCAAATCCACAATTTAGAAATTTGATAAGGGTGTATGAACTTGTGGTTCAGTTTAGGTATGGGGTGAGAGGACACGCCATAATAACAAGGATTATGATTAATATATGAACAATGTGGACTAGTAATGTGGTAGCATATTGTCTCAGCTGCATACGTGAAAACAAGAAAATATAGCATAGAGCGGTTCCGGCATTGTAACCTTTCACACTTTCATAAATTCTTTTCTACCGATAACTTGGCATCATGCTGCAGCTATGTCATAGACTGGTGCCTGTTAGACGTTTGCCATTCGTTGCCTACATCTCATCTGTGTGTCTGTGATCAGGAGGACATGGGTATGACCTACGACGAGTTGTCAGTCTATGGTCGGCTGAGGAAGCAGGATAAGTGCGGTCCATATAGCATGTTTGGAAAGCTCGTACACACATGGAGAGATAAATATCGAGTAGAAGAGGTAAACATTACCACGAGGCAAGCAAGTGTTGTACGGATTGTGTTTAATTACATTATTATTGTATTGTGTATATTACTGTGTATGTGCTGTGCATCATGTTCTAGTATATATATATATATATATATATATATATATATATATAACGTGATTAATGATTTGACTGTTTAGTTTGATTTGGCGCAGAGTTATGCACTTGTATGCTCCACTAATCGCCCGTAGGTGTGTGCATGCTTACACACCACAAATGCATCTTCCCCGGCAGGTATGCGAAGGTCACCAATCATTAAATAGTTGGGCGATTCGTTTTGGAGTAATTTTCAAGTAATTGGAACTATGCCTAAGCAGTCATTCATCAGCAGCAAGGCATTTTAAAGTATTAGTCAAACCTTTTCATGTTAAGACTCTAACTTATAAAAACCCTAATACCCTTAATTCACCTCACAATCATTTGCTTGCGAATTAATACGAAATTTTAATAGATTATTAGATTTTAGAATTCCATGAGGTTAACACAATATCTGTGGAATACTCGCTTACAGGTGGCGGAGAAGGTGAAGCACTTCTTTCGATGCTACGCGATCAACCGACATAAGATGACAACTCTGACGCCAGCCTACCACGCGGAGACCTACAGTCCCGACGACAACCGCTACGACCATCGCCAGTTCCTCTACAATGCCAAGTGGACGTGGCAGTTCCGCGCCATTGACGTGCAGGTGAGCGTGCGAGAGCGTGTCGCCATCCCACTATATGAACTTGAATATACGGATAAAACGCGGACTAATCACGGAAATTATGCAAAACGCACGGAGAGCCACGCACTATTACGGAGCTAATCACAGTCCATAGCAAAATACACGGACTGCTACATATTAACTACGGACTGCCGTCTAATCTCTGAGAGTCCGTATCTACGTACATGGTACGTTAATTTCCCAGCCAGCGTGGCGCCCGCACACCAGCAGTGGAAGCTTCTGAAGCGGCCGAATGTTAACAGGTTCTGGCGCTCTAGCTATTTACCTGCTGTTTGCTGCCGCAATGGACCTGCCTTAACAGTCTAATCTTGTCACAGAGAGTGTCGCCATCCAGAGGTCTCGTCCGTAACTACTCTGTTATGTAATATGCCGTCGGCAATGTCTGATGAGTAACTTTGTCAACCCCCCGACCCCCCCCCCAAGGCCGAACGTGGATGGTGTGCAGCGCGTATACTGTGACCCTCCACACAATAGGCTATGCAGATTTGCTTTCTCTCTCTCTCTCTCTCTTCCTCTCCCTCTCACTCTCCCTCCCCACTCTCTCTCTTTGCATATAGAGATATATACATACACATATGCATGTAAATTATAAAATTTGTGTCTGGTTTCAAGGAAAACCGAGTTTTGTGCACTGAGAAAGTCACCATTGCCCGAAACCGTAGTAGTAAAGTATTTTGATCGGAATAACGAAAAGCATTTCATCTTCTATAATCTTCTAGTGTAGAGTGCTCATGACACACAAACAGGGAGGAGGAGGAGGAGCAAGCAGAGGAGGAGGGGGAGGGGGAGGCAGCGGCGCACGCAGGGAGCGGGGCAGGGAGAAGACGTGGGAGAACTTCATAGAGGCCGACAAGACGAAGCACCTGCCGGCGAGCGCTCAGGCCGACGCCGGCCGCGGCGGCGCCCCCTCCCCGGACGCGGGCGAGGCCGGCGTTGCCGTGGCGACCGGCTCACGGCGGTCGGCGATGAAGCCGGCGAGCAGGCGGGTGACGTTCGCCGCCGACGACGACGTGCGGCTCGTGCGCTCACGGCCCGACGGCGTGTCGGCAGGGGGCGCCGTCGCAGACGGCGAGGCGGCCGACCTTGCGACGCTGGGGAAGAACGCGCTGCTGAGGCTGCAGAAGGGCGGCGGCGGCAGCGGCGACGGCGGCGGCGAGGATCCGCGCAACCTCGCCGAGCCGCTGCCGAGCTACGCCGAGCACGTCAGCATGTACGGCGCGTCGTCGTCGGACACGGCTGCCGCGGGGACGCGGAAGCCCACCTACAGCAGCGTGTACGCGACGAGCGCGCGGCTTGCCAGCGCTCAACCCTTCCCTCCGCATCTCGTCAGGTCCGGCACGGCGCAGAGGGATCACCTCAACGTTATTAACCTGGGCGCCTGCTAACGTCGCGCGCCGTCTTAATTTAGATGGAAGTGACGACGAAGACAGGTGTAGAGTTGGCCGCTGCGTGCAGGCAGGTGTTTTTCAGTTGGCCGCACGTTTAGTAACAGTCGTAAAGGCTAAGCGTTGCTGTGGGAAGAGTTGGAAAGAAGTTTTCGATGCGACTGGTCGCAGAATTTTATGCATCAGTGCTGTTATTTTACATAGATTATTAATATTGCACATGATTAGTGCATTCTAATTCACTGCATATGTTGTAGCAATTTTGAAGTTACAAAAACGCAGCTATTTTTGGATAGATGTACGGTGTATTTATGGTGAAATTTCATGTTGGCAACGATGATGTGTATGACATTGATAAGGTCTCTGTCTGATTAAATATGCTACTGCATCTCACAGTGTCATACTCAGTAAAATATGCCGTACCCACCTTTAGCTGTTAGAAAATTCTTTCTTTTGCATAAATTTAATGAGGAATCAGTATTTTACCAGTCTTCAACACAAACTTGAAATGCGAGCTTTGTTTTAAGAATGTGAAACGTGTTTAGGCTCGTTTCAACCCTAAACATGTTCCATCTTCTAGAAAAATTCCCCCCTTTTTCAAGCTTGTGTTATAAACTGGAAAAATTAAGATTGGATGTTAATTTTGATGTACTACTGCTTGATGACAATGTTGCATAATATATCAGGTATGGAAAGTATGTGAGTTGCCTTGCATCGAGTGCTGTGGTGCCACTGTCACCCTCACATCCTTGTTTCTATAGTTGTATTTCAGTACATAAAGTATATACCAGAGGGTGTCTAAATCCGGGTGTCTAATGATAAATTCAGCAAGAGAATGACCATATACCCAATTGACATTTTAGACAAGGCTCCATAAAAAAGCTGCAATGTTGCCTACAGATTCAATTGAGAGAATTGTTGCTTGAAAGGCTGCCGCAGTCCTGCCAATAATGTGCGTGAAAATTGGCAATCTTTTTCAATAAGCTTCGAGGCTTAGAGATAGTATTGGTACGTTTTCCTGTAGATAGTAATTCTCTTATCTGACGCGTTTCTTTACTACATTGCACTTTCAGTGGTATTCACGTCAGGATGAATATAAAGACGTATATATCTAGATATCTTTATAGCATTCAGGGTCGTATTCACTGTTAATATTTCACTGAGTGATCGATCATACAGTGGGTGGCTAGGCAGACAATCGTCATATTCATGTATACAGAGTTTGATTCGTGGGTCTAACGACTGGACTGCACAGAAGAATTGATACTTTTATTTATTTTCGCTAGTGGCACCTTTATTGTCGGTGTTTCTTTGATATTCCTCACCATTTGTGTCGGATGTGCGATTCCTCACGTGTGATTTATTGGCTTGTACATATCAACAGGGTAATGAGGTTTTATTGTATAAGTTTATCAATGTATGTCTAATTATATTTTGGTACATGCCATGTATATCAGGAGTAGATAATAGGGAAGGAGTGTGACATCAATAAACAAGGGAAATTCGTCATTTACTAGCCTTATAATACCTACGATTTACTACGCGTAACTCATCCAACTTGAGCTCAAATCGGACACAGTACATTCGCCTAGCATCGTGCGAAATCGTTTCCTCGTATACACCCGCAATCCGGAGATACAGACTAAAACGTACGACACGATTCTCCATTCTTTGGCCATCAATCCAAATCCATTGCGCGCCTCTAATTCAAACAAAAGGCAGCTACCTAACGCGCTATTGCTAACTCGGCGAGGCATGTGGCTCGCTGGGAGATTAGGCATCAACACTCGGCGAGATAACCTTTGACCCGGTACACAGCTACACAGGCCACCTCTGCACATAGCTGGCATGCCTTCACGCACGCACGCCAACCGCAATCAGCAGCAGCTGATCGGGCTCAAATCTCCCAGCGAGCCACATTGCCCGCCGAGTTAGGTGTGGTTAGGTAGCTGCCTTTTGTTTGAATTAGAGGCGCGCAATGGATTTGGATTGATGGCCAAAGAATGGAGAATCAAGTCGTACGTTTTAGTCTGTATCTCCGGATTGCGGGTGTATACGAGGAAACGATTTCGCACGATGCTAGGCGAATGTACTGTGTCCGATTTGAGCTCAAGTTGGATGAGTTACGCGTAGTAATTCGTAGGTATTATAAGGCTAGTAAATGACGAATTTCCCTTGTTTATTGATGTCACACTCCTTCCCTATTATCTACTCCTGATGTATATATATATATATAAATATATGTATATATATATATTATATATATATGTGTGTGCATACACGTATTCTAGTTTTCGTGAAATTACCATAATAACAGCAATTCAATTAGGTTCATTTAATGAAATGCATATAAACACATTTTGTGTGATATAGTATGATATATGACTAGTGATTTACTACTTACAAGGTCTAGACTGTGTAGTTACTTTACTGATAGGAAGTTATGGAAAGGCAGTGTTGGCAGTTAGTGAAATAGATGCGATTCGTTAGATTTACTCTATTCACCGTGGTCAGATCCCAGTACTGAACAACAAGTGCCGCAGAGTGACAGCGCTCAACTGACGTGTACTGTAGCCGGCTATTCTTCTGATAAACTCACTGGCAACCGAATCCAGTGCGCCCTCCCGCCACCGCGTTGATAGGCTTTGCTATACCGGTAGTACAGTAATAAAGATATAGCTGTGTCGCTTTAATGACTTCGCTATATTAACGTTATCATGGATATGCGTCGAGCGCGAGCGTAGTGGTGGTGGGGGGAGGGGCGGGTGAAGGGGGCTCTAATAGCAAAAGCAGTTCAGTCCTTTGTTAACAGTCAACAAATCCATGTTTAACCCTCCTCTTGGGGGTCAAAAGGTTATCAGACACTTACTCTTCGCACATCAGTGGAAAGCACATTTCATGGCCCTTTCAATAAAGCCATAAAAATGGTGGGTCACCGCTGAAACAGAAAAGTTTTCCAATCGCTCCGTCAGACCATGTCCTCAGAAAATGTCTAAAATCTGCCCTGTGCCCCATTGACCTTTGACCTCCAATTTCGGCACAGTGATGGCTTTTCCTACCATGATGCTATACACCGACTATCACGAGCCTAGGTCGAGCCATTTAGATTTGTACCGCAATTCTGCATTTCCTCCCTATACCTTAAGTTAAGGAGGGAATGTTCTTCTTTTACACGTCTTGACCTTTGACCCCCAGCTTCGACATCCCAACTCGTTTTCGGATTACCCCCCACGTCCCGAATATCGTGACCGTACGTCGAGCGGTTAAGATTTGTGCCCAACTGTTGACGGACGCACGGACGGACGCTCATGCGATTCTACAAGCTGCATCCGACTATGTCAGATGAGCTAAAAACGAATGATGCTGCAGTGTTATAAAGAAGGTTAAGTTTTTGGCCACCCTGGCATGTATCATAGATGCTGCCATCTACAAATATCATATCGATAATTTTATCCATTGTGTAGAAATAGAGTAGTCATCTAAAAAAGTCGTAGACTAGACGTAAATAAAAAAGTATTTGTTTCAACAGGAATACAATTTGAAGAGGCGTAAACTATAGTTTAGGGACTCTTGATAATATACAGTTACATGTGGACATTATGCTATGCTAATGCTCGGTTCTAGTTTTACACCTATTACACAATTTTAATGTGACGTGCCCAGCAAGTGTTCCCACCTCGTATACAAATGTTGATTGTACATATGCACTTTGCCTTGCATTCTTCAAGGGCATGAATGTAGTAAAAGGTATCCAATCAAAATGTATTCACAATGTAAAAAGTGTTAAGCAAAAATATGACAAATTCGTATTTCAGCAATGCACTTTTTGTTTGTAATTTTCGGTATTTGTTGCAAATGGTCGGATACATGTCAAATAAGTAAGAAAAAGGTCGTTGACTGGCATCCTCAGCATGTCCTGTAACGTGCGCATGCATTGCGAATCGCTTCAAGTTGCCTTCCCTCTTAAAACGTCACTTGTTGTCTATCCGTGGCACCGAGTGCCTGGTGAGCCTTCTTCATTCGCCTTTTCATTTAATAACGTTAGTCTGTTACCAACCTCGGTGACAAAGTGGCGAATGTGAGGTACCCCGTATGTGCTGCCATCTGCAGAGGAGGTACGCTTGCCTTAAAAAAAATGTCCCCCTTCGCCATTTTCGGTGTGCCGTGAGGCCCGTGATCCTCCCCAGCAGTCGTCGCCTCGCTTGATACGCTGTGTGCGTCACTCAGTTTCGGCTGCTTGTTCGGGGCGGGTTCCGAGCTGTCTTCGCACAGTGCGTCACCTAGGTCGAGAACGGCCGGCATGCAGACTCTACGCACGTCGAAGGTGCGCAGTAGGCACTCCATCGTACAGACCTCCGTGAAGTCGTGTTCCGTTAATGCGAGGCACGTTCGCTGCACTTGCTCGATGCACGGAGAGAAGGAGCATATGCGGCCACCTGCGAACACGGTTCACGTTGCAATTACGTTCGATTCATTCGCAAACAAAATTTAAAGCGTGAAATAAATTTTTTCGGACGTGAATCGTGTCTAAAACATGCAGGCTCCTCTCTGCAAATAAGGGTAACATGAAAGAACAAGCTCACGGCATTCCGATTAACACACCTAGCCACACGTAGAATATACATCTAACCATGCTGAAGTAACTATAAGCACCTAGCAGTTTAATCGCTTGCTTTGCAGATGCTATAGCTGTCCACGGCGCTGGAAGGTCGAGAAAAACGGCGTCGACTTCTAAGTTCAGTCCAAACCCAGCAGAGCAAACATCTCGGTGGCTAGCTGTGACTAGATCGGCAAAACCGTGAGACTCAAACTCTTCCCTCGCCTTCTGCGCCCTCTGTTCGTGAAAGTCGAAGGTATTAAGGTGGCCGTTCGGTGCAATGGTTCGAAGAATGGCATGTGACAGAGATCCACTACCAGTACCTGGAATGTGACATGTTTCAATCAGATTATTTAACCACAGTAGCAAGACGCAAAAAAATCCAACCTCGCATGAAAAATGAGTTGAGAATAATCTGAGAATTGGGAACAGAAAGGACTCATATCTGTTCTCAATTTCAATTTTGTACGGTAGTTGCTACAGAGGCTTCCATTTAACCAGGCCTCGTATTTCACCATGGCACCAACAGCAAGTGCCATGATTGCACTGCCTACATGTTGCGGTGCCCCTGGAAATTGCACGACTAGCTTTGCCTCTGTGTCCTTATAAAGTACATTTTGAATATGCATCCTTAGGGGCAGTGTGTTAGGTCTTACAAAATAATCTACCTAATAAACTATGCCACTTGTTGACCACCGACAAACTTAATTTCCTGCAGAAGTGGTAAGGCTTTAACATTTTTACAATTGGGTGAAAAATGGATGAACTTAGTATTTTTACTCAATAATTTCACACGTATGTGCAAATTGCAGAGTTTTCAGCCATAATTCTACCAGATATAATTGTTAAGCGATGTGATCTACATGGCCGATATCTCATTAATGAATAAATTAGCTATTAGGTATGAGGTTATTGCATAAAAAATACTATTACTAAGTTAACACATTTTTGATGCAACTATTTTACTCTACAGCGGGGGTTACACTATAGATTTTTGTCAGCAAATTGTACCGATTTCAAGTGCATTCCAACTTTGCCCCCGACTTGACCTGATAGAAGTTGGTGTTGAGTTTCTGTTCACACTATCGATTTTTGTCAGCAAAGCATACGCGTGTGGTGATGGATTCTTCGTGCCAAGTATAGCGCATGTGCCGGCAATAGCAGAAATGCGCGCATAAATACTTCACTGGACTCAATCGTACAATGGACGCAGTGCTGCTTGTGCTCGTCACTGCTTTGCTTATTAAAGGCTCACAATGCGCATCCAAACGCTAATTTCTCCAGTACTAGACTAGCAAATACTTCGTGTCATGCATAATCATACTACCTTATGGCAAAATAAACTCTAGTTCCTCCCATTTCACTGCGCGTGACGTCACATGCGACGTCACATGCGACG